AAAAAAAAAAAAAAAAAAAAAAAAAAAGCATGTCTACATTCTTTCCTTCGTGATGTGCAGTCCTGAAGGTTGAAGCAGGGTGGAGTAACAGATTTTAAGTGAATTCTCCAGGTACTTGTTCAGTTTTAGGGACTGAACCCGAGCTCTCGTACATGTGGGCAAGCACACTCCCCCTGAGCTGTAACTCCCAGCACCAGTGATGCTTTTGATCTCCATTACTTGTGAAATGCTTTACCCATCAGAAATCTTCAAACTAATTTTCCTATTTTGATGGCATGGAGACTTTCTAGGGTGTATTGCTAGAGAGAGAGAGAGAGAGAGAGAGAGAGAGAGAGAGAGAGAGAGAGAGTGTGTGTGAGAGAGATTGGAGACAGGGATCTCACTATGCAGTACAGCCTGGCGTTGGACTCACAGTGATCCTCCTGTCTCAGCCTCCTCAGTGCTGGGATTAGAAGGTGCCACCAAGCCTGGCAGATTTTTTTCAGAACAGGGTCTTGCTATGTGGTACAGGCTAGCCGTGAACTCACCAGGGAGCCTGGGCTGGCCTTGAACTCAGTGATCCTCCTGCCTCAGTGTCACAAGCGACGGGATGGATGCGTGTACCAGCGTGCCCAGTTATGTGCTGGAACTAATAGTGCTGGGAGAGTCAATTTCCACTTCTTCAACTTGTTTTTTTTTGGATACCGGGGAATCAAACTCAGGGTCTCGTCAGGTGCTTTGCTGCTGAATTACATTCCCGGCTACTCTTTCAACTTCTGTGGGTATACTTTCCTAGACTGCTTCTTGCTTGGCAAGTGGCCTAGTATCAAACCTGGCCTTAATAAACATCTATTGGGGCTGGGGATTTAGCTCAGTGGTTTGGCCACCTGCCTTGCAAGTGCAAGGAACCGAGTTCGATCCCCGGTACCAAAAAATAAATAAATAAACACCTGTTAAATGCTGCCGCAAACTGAGCATGGTGGTGCTATAATCCCAGCACTCGGGAGGCTAAGCCAGAAGGATCATTGTGAGTTTGAGGCCAGCCTGGGGCTGCCATAGCAAAGGGCTATATAGCAAGACTGTTTCCAAAAACATTAAAATTAAAAAAGGGCCAGGGAGGGCCGGGGACTTAGCTCAGCGGTTTGGTGGCCTGCCTCGCAAGCGCAAGGACCTGAGTTCGATCCCCGGTACCACAAGAAAAAAAAAAAAAAATGGGCTGGGGATATCATTCATTCACTAAGAAGACCTTAGGATCAATACCCAGAAAATAAAACGAAAAAACTATTCTAAAGCAATAACATCAACTAAATTTGTGTTCTCAAAGTGTAAAGAAGATTAGCACCAAGACCTATATGACTCTGAAGTTCTTTTTTTTTTTTTTTTTTTTTTTT